TACACTTGTTCTTCTATATATTCTTTATCTTGATTTTCTTCACTTTCAGGTTCTGTATGATATACAGAATGCTTTCAGATGAGATCTTGTGAATTATTCTCTTTACTTATTAATATATAAGCAGATTTAACTCTTCTATATCAGAGATGTGAAATGTTCTTCTTATATCAGTTGATAGAATTGTATGAATCATTTTCTTTCTATCAGTTAATTATATATAACATGTACATCATTGAATCTGCAGATTGAACCTTTGAAATTAATTGAGTTTAAGAATAAGATTGTATTTCACATTCTGCAGCTCTCATACTTAAATATAGCAAGATTATTCTCTGAAGTGTAAGGAAACTCTTACTTTTATAGATAATATCAAATATCAGTTATCAGATAATCTTATGCATCAGGAATTCTTCACTCAGCAGATCTCTTTCAATCTTCAGATTATATAATCATTAATATATTGTATAGAAGTTTCTGTATCTGCTAATACTTTTACAGTTATCTCTCAATTCTTACTCAAGTGCCTCTTATACATTAATATTTCAGATCTTAAGATATTAAGATGAGCATTCACTTTCTCATTTACATCTCAGTCAGAAGCCTGCTTTCTCTTTGTATTTATAGAATTCAGAGAGTTATCTAACACAGACATCTCTTTCACTTTAAAGACTTTTCATAGAATATCAGTGAGTATCTCTGAGCTCACTGATTCTGCTAGTTTTTTAACTCTCTTACTTCTCTTAACTATACATACTGAATGTAATCTTTTACATCATAATTTTAACATCTGCAGTTAAAGCAAGCTTAATACTCATAATATCAAGATTTTCACTTAGAGGATTTCTTTTTCAGAGAATTCAGTGCTTTAGCAATAACATTCAGATCTAGATTCATTGTATCTAAGTGTATAACTTGTGTTATAAAAGTCTGATTATCTGTTCTTCACTGAGATATACTTAATTACAGTATTTTCTATCACAATTAACTCACTTATTTCTGTATAATAAGAATGTTATATGCTTCTTTCACTGTATCTGATTATAAGATTAAGTATTTTCATTTCACTCTTAACTCAGATGTAAGATCATGAATAAAGATCTGTAAACAGAAAGATGTTGAAAGCTCTTTATTCAATATAAAATAGTGTAAACTGAAGTGTGTGAAGTATAATATAAGATCACTCACTTATCTATACTTAGTGAAGTATTTGTAACACTTATCTTATATATTCACTTTCTCAAAGTTATATAAGATTCATTTGAAAAACTCATTTCATATTTATAAGAATGAATATCACTTCAGATCTATGAGATTCATCTTTTTATCAGTTATTCATAATAACTTTGCTTTTTCATGTAGAAACATGATAGATTTTAAGACTTATTAAAATTCTGTTAACTGTCTGTCTGTGAGTTCATATTCAATCTGATAATATGATTACATCTGACTTAGTCAGCTGATTGCAGCATCATTTTTTCAGTTGTTATTAAAGCTTAGTAACTTCAGCAGATCTTCTGACTTGATATATTTCATACTTGAATTCTCATTCTGTATAGCAGTCTCTGATGATGTGTATACTTCTGAAGAGATTATAAACAATTATGATGAGATCTTCAGATTCAGTATAGTTATCTATCTATATAAACATTCAATCTTCTGCTACAGATCTAAGATCTAGTTTTCTCTATTCTTATTAATGATGATAATTATATCAGTGAAACTCTTTATAGTGAATGCTTAATCTACAGTGAATGCTAATTATTGTTTAACTTTCATCTCAGTCTGTTACTGTATACACAAGGCCTCAATCTCATTTAGAATTCTTATACATATACAGAGCTTTGATTCTGATTCAGCAGTCTCAGCTGTTTTTCTTACTACTTTAAGTAAACTCTCTGAGAGATTCTATATATCTTTCAGTTCAGGTAGCAGAGAAGAATGTTGTTCATATTAACTAGAAGAGATATTCATTTCAGTGATTTCTCATTAATTATACAATGTCTATTATTATATCATTGTATCATTCTATCACTATATCATTATATAATTTCTGTTATCATTGTATGACTTCAGTGATGATCACTTCTTCTTTTATCTCTTTGAGTGAAGAGCAGTCTTCTTTGAATCTGGTTCATCACTCTCATTTCTTTTCTCACATCTCATCTGTTCATGTCTCATACATGGCATTCATCTGGATGTGAAGTTTTCCCTCATCAAGTGAAGCAGTATCAATCAGATGCTCTTTCACTCACTGCTCTTTATACACTATCTTTTGAGATGTTCTAGAATCACACTGACATGATAACTATGAATCACTTTGTAGATGGAATTATCACACTCTGAAGAAGCCTGCACTTCTCATCAGTTTTTAGACATACTATCAGATGTGATTCAAAGGTTGCTTTAAGCCAGTGTACAATTACAGGCGTATGCCGGCTTCTTATATATTGAATCTCATACGCTAAATTAATTAGTGGCCACTAGGGCCCCCTTTACATTCGTACGCTAGTAGTTCGGAAGCGGCCGCGTTATTATCCGACGGTCGTACGTTCTTCCGAACCACACTCTCATGACTCATTGACACTGCTGCTTCTGTCTTCAATCTGGCTTTCTTAACAGTTACAGAGACTGCAGTCACATCACAAAGATATTTATTACTTACTAGAAAACATCAGAATAAGTCTCTTATTATCTCTCAAGAATGATACTCTCATACACTCACTATTATAGATGAGAGAAGAAGAGAAAAATATATTATAAAAGAGAAAGATCTTTTTAAAAAATTCTATCACTACTGTTAACTTTATCTCTAAAATACATCACTTTTACAGAGAATTTTATATATAGAACAAAATATAATAAGAGATCTGTAAGTCACTTATTAACTATATTTTTCACATTTTAAATTAATATATCAGAAACTCACTTATCACATGTTTAATTTAAATGAAGATGAGAAAAGAAAGATCTATATAGTTAGCAGAAAAACTCATCTATTTCTTTATATTATATATAGTATATATACTGTTAAATTGATTAATAATTATTACTATATAATAAAGATAATTTCTAATTCAGTAGTCTTAAGAGCATTAAGACTATACTTTTAAAGAGAAGAGTATTATTATATCTCTGACTATGTCAAGACTCTGCTGTAGTTTTATACAGCTCATTACTTTTATATAAATAATTTCATTTATTTCACAGACTATCTGAACTGATTTTTAATCACTCTATAATATTATTTAGATATATTATAGAAAGATTTAATTAATGAATATAAGAATTCTACTTCTATATAAGATTAGCAGATTACTCTTTCTTGATAATAAAACACTACTGAGATATTACTTCAGCTATTCTTACTCATGAAATAAGAGAAGAGTATTCACTTATTATCTATATAGAATAGCTAGATACTGACTTCTTATTAAAGAAATCAGTAATTCATTTTTCTTCTACTGAAATATATATAAGAGTTACTGTATATCTTATACAATCTTCTTAGTATACTAAGTATTATATCTGTGATATTCTTGTAATAACTCTGTAGCCTACAAGCTCACTATTTAAGCAAGATAGTTAAGCTCACTTATACAGCTTCTCAAACAACTACTTCTATGTGATACTGTTAACTAGTCATCACTTCAGTTCCGCTATATTACATTTATCACAGAATTTATAACTGTAGAAGAATCTGATTTTACTATATATATCTGTTTACAGTTCTACACAGTGTAAAGAGATAATCAGTGATAGAAAAGATGTAATAAGAGAAGATTATAATATCTAAGTTCTCTGAGTGTGATATTGAAGACAGACAGCTGTAGAAGTAGTAGAATACTGTAAAGAAATAAATTAATCAAGAGACTAGTTTCATAAGCAGTGAATATAGACTTTTAATATATTATTCATTCTTGAGAATTTATAAGAGATAATTAATCAGATGTATTATCTATTCAAGAATCTGTATAAAGTAGATAGTTAATAAGATATATAATTTATTATTCAAGAATCTGTATAAAGTAGATAGTTAATAAGATGTATAATCTATTATTCAAGAATCTGTACAGAGTAGATAATATAATTGATAAGATAAAAGATAAATGTATTATAAGTGTGTAGAAGTTATAGTGTAATATTATGAAATTACACTTCACTTAATTCTATATTAATCAGTGAGCTGTATTCATACTAAGAATCTTAAAAAGAAAATTCTTCACTTTTAATAATTAGAGTTTTCATTATATATTTGCTTCACTTCACTCTGCAAATGAAGAATTTGAGATGTATAAGAGAAATTACAGTCAGTAAGTTAATTAATATTAAAAAAGAAGTTTTTCTTCTTTTGAATCTGAAACATTTTTACAGTAAACAGATATTGTTTTCTTTCTTAATACTTGAATGTCATTGTAACACTATGATAGTTAATGTATATCAACTAATTTCATATTTTTTAGTGATTTCAGTGTAATTAGAAACCAATTGCAGGTTCAAATCATTAAATTACTGCTTGTATAACTGCTTTATGATGCATATTGTGAGTGTTTGAAGGTGGATAAATAAAGGAAGAATTTAAGTGAGTGAGTGTTGAGTGGTGGAAACAAGTGTTGTAGTGATTTAATTATGTTAGTTAATTAGTTAGTTGTTAGTTATTGTTAAGAGTCCCGGGAGTTGATCGGCCCTTCTACCAGCAGTGCACTGGTGGTGATTGAGCTCTTTTGCCCCAGTAGCCTACAGTTATAGTTGGTTATTCACGGTTATGAATAATTTATCTCAGGAGCTGCAGGTAGAGTTAGGTTAGTGATGATGAGTGCTCCTTGAAAAATATTGTCTATTGAAAAATGACAAGAAAGCATGTTCTTCATTTATATCAATATTGAAATATAGAACTATATATAAATATATTTATTTATTTTTATGCTTGGGTGTGGTTTCTGCCAAGAGAGAAAATTCAACAACAGACTATGATAACACAATGAGGTAATAGCTTGTACATAGTTACATGTACTAACTAGTTGTTAGATCTCAGACATTCAATATCATCTCACTGAGACAGTCATTGATCTTGAACTCATCAGTTTCCCAGTATCATTCTTTAATATATATGTCCACCACTGTCTCTTTACAGGCATATCCCCTTCCAAAAATCACACCACCCCACACCCAGCCATGGAGAGCATATCTAGTACAATTACCACTCCGTCCCATTGTACGGCGGATTTCTGCCTGATCCCGGTATGTTATGGCATGTATATCTGTGCAAAAAAAAAAAAAAAAAAAAAAAAAAAAGTGTACTTCATTGGCAAACCACAATTTCCTACATCAATTTACCCTCTCTGCCTGCCCCGATTTCAAGAGAGTCCAATCAATTAATGAATGAGAAATCAATGATGTATCACTGGGATTTTTCTTTTCTATGTATATATTTAAATATATATTGTCTGCCGCATTTGCGTACATTGCTAATTTCTTCACCAGATTGGCACATCTTCAGCGTCAGTATCTCAACAGGTCGCTGACGTCCAACGTCTGGTTGAGAAATCCGGCGTGAAATATGTCATGCATTCAGCAGGAACAACCCTTGGTACGTTCAACTACTTTGGCCTTCCTGTCTACAGCTAGTCCCCATTACCATTTGCCAGTTAACCTGGAGCGTAAATACCCTCGAGGATCTGATTGCGTCTTCTTCATGGTTTCTCTTTTCGTCTGGAAATAAAAAGCTAACAACCAGCAGAAGGATCATGGGACGCTGTGTTTGCCGTGATCGGTCAGGCGCATACTATGCTCCATAAACAGGGTATTGTGCGTATCCAGACGGATATCAGAGTTGGGTCAAGGTGAGGACTTTGCTTTTTCTACCCTACCTATATTTTTATATACACCTCTGTTCCTGTTAAATGTATGTAAAAGTTGCATCGAAAAACTCAAACTAATAGCTAACTGGTGGAAATTCCAAAAAAAAAAAAGAACCGATAAGGTGCAAAGTATGGAGGACAAAGTAGGCGTTGTCGAGAAGCTGCTGGGGAAGTCATCTTAATTTTGAGGCTACTATCACGAATATGTGCTACATATATTTTGACCTCGTCGGAAACAAGTTGGGTTCTTTCCATTGCCTGTATGCTCTCATAATTGAGCTCGTCAGATTTGCCGACATCATCTGGCGAGGATGTTTTCCCAGACTCGGTTGCAAAGTGGTCGGCTCTTTCAAATTTTTATCATGACTGAGAATCACTAATTATGCATGAAGCTGGAGGGATCGAATCATTGAAAGAGGGGCCTATAAGAAGAAACAAAACAAAAAAAATCTATTATATAGCATCGTACTCCTATTTAATAAAAGTTAAATGTGCCTATCCATACTCAATAACATTCTAGAATAATCAACAGTGGGTATAGTGTGAATATATTAAAAATTAAATCAAATAGCAAAGAACCCAAAGAAAGACGCCTGCTTGTTATACGTAGCTATCGTGACAATAGCTTTCACGGCAAAGGGAAATTTCAGGGAAAAGAGAATGCCCTCCCAGCCCAAATACCTATCTTGCTAGATATTCTCTACCATTCCTCAATCTCGCATTCGCTCCCAGCTCTACCCGGCCAACATCTTTGTCTGGTTGTACATCCCCAAATCATCCATGTTTCCGATCTAAGGCAGTTACTCCCCAAGAATTTGCTAAAAGAGCTGGTAGTGGGCCTGTGGTATCATCCGTGGACAACTGGGCACCTAACCGGAGAATCACGAACGCATCTAGAGTACTGTTGGAACTGAATAAGTATATCCCCGCCACTGCGATAAGGTTCAGCAGGAATATGCCCAGCAACACAGAAATGGCAATGACATCCACGTTGCTGATCACAGGCATTGGTGCGTCGTTACCCACGTCGGACTGAATTTCAAAGTTTCTGTCACTGCGGTTGCCACTGATCAAGCCAACCTTTATAGGCCAGGTAAAACGGCGGCAGTGAGTGTGTGCCTCATTTGAAACTCTTCCCAGTTCATCGAGTACTTTCTAGCTTACCTGCGTATCATCTGGACGTCTGAGGCAATTCAACCAAGCCTCCTGTATATCGGAGCTATAACTCTCACGACGTTCTTTCATCAGGTTGACAAGGGGGGCTAGGTCTCTGCACGGGCCGTAGCGATCAGTGCCAGTATATCCCAAGGGCGGAGTGTGAGCGTGCGGCGATGAAGGAACTGTTGCCAAAGAGCGCCTTGGCGACCGTGTAGAGGGGACCTAGGTTGACTCTGCGATCGAGATCTTCGGAATGTCGTATTCCATATCGACCTTAAATCCTACTCCTTTGCTATCGTGCAGGGGTAGTTGTAAAGTTAGTAGACCAGCGTTTCGATTTCCGACTATCACAATTGTTAGTAATGATTCTGTTAGCAGATTCCATACATTGAAACAGAGTCCAAGCGGCGGTTGGGCTGGATTTCACTAGGTGACTCGCGTAATTATTAGCATATCTCCCTGATTAGTGAATGCTCATCGCAAACTCGTCAGGGTCTCGTGGCAAAAGGTCACCACCAGCAGTGTTATTATTAATATAATAAGGCAATTCGGAATACCCTGAGGTACTATCGGCTTCCACCTTGAAAACAGTTGGTCCGCCGGAAAAACCGGGGAAATTGATGCCATAATCGGATAAAGGGCTTCTGATATGGTATGCGGAGTTCGGAATTGGATTTTCCCATGGCGAGTTGCCTTGGTTTGCTGGCATGCATGCCTTGACGCTGTAATGGGGATTTCCGGCTATCATCCTAGAGTATGCCGCATAGAAGGAACTGGGGAGACTCGAACCGTCAGCGGGCAAGTCATCCATGGGAACAATATCACACGAAACCGTTGAGTTGTGTCCGGGAGCGAATTGGCGCAGTAGGCCCTTGTTGAACGTTGTAAATGCAGGAGATATACACGATTTCCCTGGGTCTAATTCGCCCAAACGATGACCGGCTATGTGAAGATATAGCCACTTGTTTCTACAATGAAGCGCTAAGGGATCACAGTGCATGGAGTCACAATAAGCTTTTTTAAAGTTGCGTGGACCGGATCTTCGCGATAATCTAGGCGATCAGGACCGTGAAACCGAATATCCTCCATTGAACTCACACAAAGAGAGGAACAATCATTATACCGTCACCGTCGCTATCAAACTAAATGCTTCATTTTGCGACCAAAGCACTATCCAACTGCCATTCCGCCACCAACAAGCGAACCCCGGCCACCACCGACTCATATCAAATTATCAAGCGACGGATACGATCCTAACTTCACCGTCTCCAACAAATTCGAAAGGTCCCGTAACATGTTAGGGTAGGGCATGGTTTTCCCGAAATCTCGAGTCCTTCTGAGTTAGACCGTGGCGCAGGTTTCCTCCCTTCGCGATCGGCAAACCCATTGAGCTTACCAACTGTAGCAAATGCACGCCCCTGATCGAGGAAATCAACAAGAATAACTGCCGGTCGACGTCCCTGACAAAATATTTTGACAAACGGACAAAGTTTGTGCTGGTAATTTTTTCCAACTTCGGGGGAAACGATCCCCAACTCATTTTGAGTGCCTTGGACATGGTTTATAAACGGTAAGCGTCCTGATGAAAGGACCACATTAATGTTGCTTTGAACCTGGCAAGGACGGCGTGGTTTTCATAAGAATTCCGTGGGGGCGATACGATTTCGAATTGCGTTTCGAAGACAACAGTGGAAAATCGTCGATGATGCAAGGCGTGATGTGATGGAGGCGGTGGAGTCGTTTGGGGAGGCCACGAAGACAATGAGGCGAGTGCAATGTGGGACAGACCGTTGGTGGTAAATTGGGGATGGAGGAGTATATACATGGATGATAATATGCGCGGCTGTAAATTCCGCATCGGGAGGGAGAATGACAATGTATAATATCACATTTAGTGATGACAGCGGAAGCGACAGAGTCCGCTCCCATTTGGCATGGGATATAAAACATTTATATATAGTATGCGTGACAACGTAAATTTGTAGATGGAAACACTCCATAATCCCACATAGCACGGCGTCCTGAAATATCTCCATTTCACCCATGATCCACAATCGCCGTTGTATTTCATCTGGGAGGTAGACATATTTCTGCATTCAGCGCGTTTTCAGCGTAGTCGGAATCTAAGGAACCAGAAAGATGTAAGCTTAATAAACTCGACATAGAGAGGTGATTGAAAACATACACTACAAGCTTATTAATAGTTGTGAATGCTTGGCTACCTCAGGTATTTGCAAAAAGATAAATACATTCATTGGGTAATCCAAACAACCAACCATGTCAACACTCGAGGCAGTAAAAGCCCTAGTAATCACCATAATCATTGTGAAGCTGTTTTTCCGCCTTCACTCTTTCTTCTCTATATGTCCTTTGCCTCGATACACGTGGATAATCCGACCTCTCTGACGACCTGCCTTCCTCATTCTCTTGGCCTGGGGTGCGAGTTTTGGGGTTCACGAGGTCATACATATCCTCTTGCGCCAAGTACCCAAACAACGGCAATTCCCACACATTATTTATATCTTCCAATATCTCTTCAAGGGTCCATGGATTCGTAGAACGCAACATGCGGTTTTTCGGGCGGTTGGAAACTCGGTACTCACCAAATAGCACAGCGAGTCGATGTCGAGTTGCCCGGCGAACCGTGTTCATTTGCACGATCACCCCCTTTAGTTTCAGCTCACGCAAGAGGACGTGCCCTCGTATCCAGGGTATGATTTTCTCGCGCTCCGTGCTGAACGGATTGTAATATATTTCCCTGGTGTTGGGCGGAAGGTTAAAACCCCACGCGATTATGGCATATTGTAAGTGCACAGAAAAAAGCTGGCGGAAGGGAGCATTCGGATGTGCAGCTGGCAGGAACTTCCCATGGTCCACATTGGAGGTAGGGCAATCAGCTGAGGCAGCGTCAGCGTCAAAAGTTGACGCAAAGCGCTTGGGATTGATTGGCGAGTAAAAATGTGTTAGCCAGAGGCACAATTTCCTAAACTCTTGCCAGTCACCGCTCATGCCAAGTCGTTTCAACACTTCCCTCCAACAACGTGGTGGAACCTCCATCCCAGTGCTCACCATATTTTGCAATGTGCCAATCAAAAACGTGATTGCACGAGAATTCTCCGGATTGCGAGGTTCCTGTGTTCCCGGCCTCCGTTGGGGCAGTATCTTCTTGACCATAACATATAGAGAATAATATGCCGGGGAAATGTCATGTTGCCTCATTTGGTCCAGCATGCGGGGTATTTTTTGCCAATCCCTCATGTGTGCTGCATTACGGAGGAGGATGTTATAGTGAAGAGGGTCCTCAGTAGACAAGATGGACAGGGCTTTGAAGAGCATACGAGCCCGTCCCATCTCACCAGCGACAGAAGAGGAATTAAAGAGCCACTCCACGGTTTCCAGGTCCTCCAGAACATCCGGGTGCAGATTGCTCTGCAAAAGTTCATACAATATGAAGTCATTTCCTTCAAAGGCTAGTTTCTGGACAACCCTCGAAAACGCCGAGTTTCCGATTGAAATCCCTTCTTTCTTCAAAATATCGATCTGTTCACGTAGTTTTTTCGCGCCTCCAGCCTTCAAAGCCATCTGTCTCAGGGTTTGCGGCCTGATAGCGGTAGCGCCAAATGCCTTGACGCCGGCAAGGATAAGATCAAACGTAAACGTCTTCGTAGCGAACAAGCGGGCACCGAGCTTGTCGTTGACAGCGTTCGTCTCTTTTTGTTTAACTTCCGGAGGGACATTTATACTCGTTCGATTCCCGCTCGTTGGGCTGAGAGTTATTATTGATATATCGTTTTGGAACAGGCCTTTCAACTTTAAATTGGCTAGGAACAATTCTATTTCCGGCTTCGAGCCAAAATGTCGTAGATGTTGTATTAAAGGCGAGATATCTTGTGCTGATTGGGGCAAATCGTTCCGTTCTATGAGGAAATTATGCATTGCAAGAGCATCGGCTAGTCTTCCAGCCTTCACGAGAAATGGCACAGTATGGCAGTATATCTGGTGATTATCAACTGTTCTGCATACCTTCCTTAATGCTCTTAAACCACCATCGATTGAAACCGCGGGTTCAAATAGTAGCAATAACATAGCATTTGGGTTTGACAAGTGAGTGTCTTTTAGTTTCTCGTGCCATTGGACTCCCCTGGAAAATTTGCCCGCTTTGAATAACCCGAGCACAACAGACTTGTAAAATTTCTCTCTATCCCAAGCCTTCCCAGATCGCTCATAAAGTTCGCAGGCATAGGAGTATACTTCAGTCAAAAAATCATTGCGTTTCCAGCCAACTATGATAAAGTTTCTCCAGAAGAGCGAAGCATATTCTCCTTCCACAGGTAAGTCGATTGGTTGTCCTCTTTCCCTTAAGCCCTTCCAGATATCTACCACGCCATCGTCTCCATAGTGTCGTTTGCGATAAAGGAGCAAGTGCTTCCAGAGCGTAAAATCATTGGCAAAGGGGGGACTGTCAACCAATTTGGTTCCAATATCTCTAGAGTGGCCAACGTCCGATTCAAACTTGATCCTTTCGGGATCCAACCGCCAATCTCCGGAACGAAAAGTATCTGAGTCGTGCAAATAATTTGAGAGCCGGGAGGTCGCGGCAGGTGTCTTCTCTTCCTCTGAGGTTGTCAAGGAGGCTTTCATGACCGAATCTATATTGAGGTATCGCTGGAAACTAAGGGAATGTCCGTATGGCTTTGCGTGAGTTGTGGTGGGACGACTACGGCCGTACAGCTTTGCATCTTGACTTCGTCGCCGGGTTCCGTTAAGGACTGTGATTTTGCTATGCTTGGGTAGATTTGTCACATAAGGTTTGTTCCCATAGGCTCTAGAGCTATGTATCGCGCATCTTAAGCATATCTCATTCAAATGCAATTGGTCTAGCGTAGTTGAAGCAGCAAGCAAAGAGCTGAGTAGGGACAATGTAGAGCGCGTTCCCAGCCGCTTTCGGACAGCCAGTTGCATTTGGGGCCGCGGCAGAGAGCGTAGCAGCAATGGACGGTTACGCACGCCCAATAGCACTTAACTGTCGCAAGAGTGAAAGGGCAACGTCAGGACAGTAGGGTCTTTTTGCTTGCTTGCTGGTGTGTAGTTCAGTCAAAGTAAAAGGCGACATCTGGTAACCAAGCCTTAGAATCAACCGTCAAAAATGATGCCAAGCAGCTTTCCGGAAGAGGCTAGTCTGTTTTCCAATCCACGTGACCTGAGGTGATCCGACCTCAAACAACTTCGGCAAGGAAGCGGAACCTCATCGTCAACATCAAACAACAACTTCACCCCATTGACCCCCAGTTCCTCACTCTGCTCCCCAGTTTAGCACTCTCAAACCTCGCAGCCATGGTATCCCGAACCTTCCCCAGAATGGCCGGGTAGGTTTCCTGTCGAATTGCCCTATCGCAGCCTGGCAGCATATTCCAATTCCCGAATGACAGGACAGCACCAATTCAGATGCCAGTTGAACTATGAACTTGTGTGCAAATATTTGGTGATACGTGCTAACATTCGCAATTGTGCCTATTTAGATTCATCTTCCGGGAGAACCGTGTCCCCTACTACCAACGCCTCTTCCAGAAAAATGACGGCAAGCGCATCTGGAACAAGGTGCGTTAAATCCGCTTCCCCAATTCCTCCCCAAAGAAATCCGGATACAATTACGCAACACAACTTAAAGAAAAGCCGAATATGGGACGACCTGATATCTAACTATTACTCAAAACCACAGTCCCACCGCAGCCCGTACCTTCTCTACCCATTCTACATCTCCCTCTTTGGCTCCTTCGGTGGTATGTTTTCCCCCAATTTCCGACTCCGGGTCCTATATCAAACGAGCCCAATCCAAGTTAGCTAACCAACTTGATTGCTTTGCGTCTACAACAGCGTCCTTCTACGCCATGTGCCGAACCGTTCTTGTGAGTTCTACTTTCTTTCCCTTAAAAAAATCCCGCTTTTTCCAAATATCCCACAAAATAGCAGGGTGAATGATGCTAATTATATCGGATTAACAGGGTTACAAAACCTGGTATTAAATGTATCAAAAGGAGTTGGCGAGGAGATAAGCTCGCTGAAATTCTAGCCAATGCGCAAACTACCTTGATCTGTGAGAGAGGGTCGTCCTTCTCTCAAAGCAGAAAAATAAATCTTTTTGATTATGAAAAAGTTACATCTTAGCTGGAATTGCTGCGGCGAGAGGATAGAGGGTGTGTTATGTGTGATATGATATGCAAACTTGTATATATAGAAATATGCAAAAGGAACAAAAAAAAAGTCCTCTCACAACAACACACATGTGTTCCACGACGTTTCATTAACTGATATCGTATCCATTCTCTGCTTAATCACTTTTTCCAGTTACCCGTGGATGGTTTTCCAATCTATACTTTTCAAAAATCCGACAGAGGGAGATAGAAGAGTAGTTATATGATCGTTCTCGGTGTCTTCCAGGTGCCTACCCGCCCATTGGCTCACTCCCAAATCCATATCATACTTCTCCATCTCCATATGCGTTGGTAGCATTCTTATGATAGTGCTTCGTGCATAGTACAATAGCATGTGATAATTGACATGGTTGGTTCTGCATAGGTAGCATTCTCGCCGCTGTCGATTTGACTCAATAAAATTAGAAGCCTGTGGAGGAAATCCGTCAAAAACATGACAACCTTTTGAGGTTTAATCTTTTTATTCAAAATCAAAAAAAGGTCTCTCTTGCCCTAACGCAACATGGATACATACCCGGTTTCATGAAAACAAGTACGGGAACAAGTGTTATAAGCAGACCCTCGAAAATAAAATAATAAAATACCTAGTTAGTAGATACAGGTGGCTATGTAGTAAAACAAGCCCTTACTTAACAGTAACAAAGCACAAACATCATCGGGCGACGTAGGCCCAAAAGGGCGAACGAATAGGAGCATTATTTATCCCCTCCTATAAAACCACCGATATTCCTTCCCACCACGGACTCATGTTGCTTTTTATACAAAAAGGAAGCGAAAAACTCGGCTTGACCTGTTCCACGCACACACACAAATCGCGTCTCAACCACCTTGTATCAAGCCACCCCCCACACGGGTAAAAAAGGAAATAAACGACACTGAACCTTTCACCTTGTCTGTCACCTCCCTTCCCCACCAAACTCCCCTCCCATTACACACACACACACACTCACTCACACGCCACTCAAACACGCGCAAAAAGAAACCATCTACCCCTTCCTCGTCGCCTTCTTCATCCCCCTTTTCGTCTCCCTCTCCCTCTCCTTCTCCAAAAACTTCCTCTGCTCCTCCGCCGACATCCCCCTCAACAACCGATCCCGCTCCTCCTTCTTCGCCTTCTCCGCCTGCAACTTGCGCTCCTCGCTCTTCTCCTCCTCGTACGCGCGACGCAGCTTGCGCGTCTCCTCGTCGCGCGTGTTGCGCAGTTTGCGCACGACTTCGGCGCGGAAGTGGGCGGCCGAGACGACGCGGTCGGTTAGGCGGAGGAAGTAGGTGAAGACGGGCATCGTGGTGGCGTAGGAGCCGGATTTGGGCAGGCGGAGGGAGAGGTTTATGCGTTTGCCGGGGGTGGTTTCGTCAAGTCTGTTTTGGGGGTTGTTTCTTGTTAGTAAATTGCTGAGGGGAAGGCCTGTTCATACATTATATATAGATATGTATATATAAGTAAAATCTTACTTCGTAGGCTTATCCAGCGGCTGGTCAGTAATGATCAAGTACTCAAAATCCTCCCCAGCTTCTTCCACCGCCTTGATGAGGTCAGCCGTAAGCATCGTCTCTGTAATCTCCGCACTCTCACTCATAACGGTCGCCCACTGAGGTAATTTCGGATTATCCCTCGTAAACGTCAGGGAGATATCATATCGATCCTCACGTAGCTTGCGCATGCAGTTCTTATGCACAACCGCAAACACAAACCCATCGTAACTCGAGTTATTCGCCGCCCCCTTCGTCCGCTGCTCGATGAGCTCCTTCTCCACCGCCGACGGCGCGGGAACAAGATCCTTTTCCTTCCCATCAAACGAATACGCCGTGCACTCCACCCGCTCCACCGGCACAGGCCACGAGTCGAAAAACATGCTCACCGCAAAATCACCAAGCATGTACAGCGGGTTATACCACCGGAACAATTTAATCGAGACATCCATGAACGCCACATTCTGCCGGCCGGTGGCGTACGTCGCGAACTCCGTGCCCGACATCTCCTTCAGCATCGACGCGGGCACCACAAGCTCGTCGCCCGAAGACGCCGACGCAGCCGCCGCCGCCTTCGCCAGCCCTTCCGCCTGCACGTCATCGGCCGACGGCGCCCGGCGCGCACCACCCACGCCGCCATAGCCGACGACGGCAAACTCGCTCTGTAGGATGGGTAGGTGAGCCTGCGCCCATTTCTTGGCTCTGCGCCGGTTCTTGCCCATGCCCCAGACATGCAGCAGGAGCAGGACCGCGATGAAGGGGATCACGAAGGCTTCTTGCATAAAGTCCTGGCGCGAGTGGCGCTCCCAGACGCGGTACCATGCTGTATATGGTCGGGCGTTGCCGCTGGCCGGAATGGCTTCCTGGGTCGCTGGTAGGAGGGTCCCTGCGGCGCCGGTGGCGGTAAGGACAGGTTGTGGTGGAGGAGGTTCAGGGATGCCTGCGGCGAAGTCGGCGAAGTCTAGATTGTTTAGAAGAGAGGGGAAATGTCAGTTAGCCTTTTCTGTTGGAGCAATTGGGTTTTGTGTGGGGAAAGGGAAGGGAAAGGGAGGGGAGGGAGGAAAGATTGACCGCATACCTGCGTCATCGCCGCTGGAGGGAGCTGACGATGGAGCGTTGACATCGCCCTTTAACAGGTTCTGAAGTAGGCCAGACATTGTTGTCGATGCGACCTCGATTGGCGACCTTAGAGTTGTGCCGTGCCGTGGGAGAACTGGTGGCTGGTGGTTGATGTTGGTGAGGTGAGGCCACGAGACGGAATGTGGTTGAGGTTCGAGGGCAAATTTCAGCTATTTACAGCACAAACAGCCAGGGTCTAGTTATCTAATAATAATAAGGAGCTGGTAGCTCTGCTTGTGTATTTAATAAGTGCGCCGACTCAACGCAACGCTAGGCCCCGGATTTAGTTTGACGGAACAGAATATCTCCAGGAGTCGAGGGAACAGGGTTTTTGCGAGGGAATTAAGAGGGAATTAAGAGGGAATTAACATTGTACTGTACATGTACATTGTATAAAGGTAAGTTCCATTGAATTGTTACTGACTGACATATTGCATTATTCTTTAAAACGCCGCACAACATCCGAAAATAAAATACCACTGGGAAAAAAAAAAAAAAAAAAAAAAAAAAAAAAAAAAAAAAAAAAAGTGCTGAACAAATCCAGGACACGAAATCAACAAGAGAAATAAATACAAAATATATCACCAACTATACAAATTAGTACCAATTGAGTCGCATCAAAACCAAAACCCCCATTTATACAAAGGACAGAGTTGAGAGCATGTATGTAGTACATTACAGTGCCTTTCCCGCGCGAAAAGAAAGGGGAACAGAATAAAGAAAAATAAAAATAAAAAATAAAACCGATCAAATACCAGTATACCAGCAGCCAGCCGCAGTAATTCTTTTTGTTCCGCCCTTTTTCCATTTTGTGCTTTTTGTGTTCCCTGCCGCCAGCCAGCCGTAGAAAGGACAAAATAAAAAAAATACCATCAAATACATTTTGAAAACCAAAAGAAAAACCGATAGAAAAGGGGTATATCCAAGGGGTCCTAATGTCGCCCACGCGCCAATATAATACAACCGGAACGATGCTTCCCCAGAAATAACGGGGGTGCTTAAAAGAGGAGGTTTTAGGGGTGAGGAGAGGGGTAGAAAAAGGAATAGACAAGCAATGAAAAACAATATCATAGCAATCATGAAGGTAAAAGGGTTTCCCTGGGGATCCGGGATTTTTCATCTGCACCGGTGAGAACAGTAGATGTGCAGGTGCAGACTGTCTGTAAATGTGCAAGGGGGGCAAAACATGCGATGCTCTCTTCCCGGAACACCATGCATGCCAAATCCTAGAGAAGGGGGGTTAAAAAAATAAAAAATAAATAAAAAATAAAAAATAAAACAAAGGAAAGGAACTGTAAATAATGATCATAATAAACCAACACCAAGTGCTGAGAATTGTCACCCTCAATCTCAATGCCGATAAGCAGGCGGCGGGGTATGCGAGCGCATTGACGGGCGTTCCCAAAACCCACCACCACTGCCGCCACGGCTGCTGCTGTTGGTAGGATCCTCGCCGCCCATCTTCTCATCCTGGATCCTGCGCGCGATTTCACTGGCCATCTTCATCATCCATGCCTGTTCCAGGATGCCGCCGTTCTGGGCTGATTCCATGATGAAGGATGAAGATGGGCGGGAGAGTTGTTGCGGCTGCTGCTGCTGTGGATCTCGCGCGGAGGGAGAGGAGGAAGATGTGTAGTTATTAGAGGCGTTGGGTTTTTCAGTTGGGTATTGTGGAGTAGAAGATGGAGAAGGCCGGAGTGTTCGGATAGGGGCAGTTTCTTGAAGTGATGGTAACGGCTTCGAATCTGCAGGTTGTTGCTGTTGGAGTTGGCGCTGGAGGTTCGAGGCTGATGTTATTATCCTGGCCATATCATTGGCTATAGGTGGCGAAGTGCGGACAGTAGGCAAATCATGTCCGAATTCCGCGGGTATGCCTCTCCGAGAGTTTCTCTCGGCGTCGTCACGGGCGGCAATGCGGTCGCGTAGGGTTGGTCGCCTGATCGTACGCTGTGGTGAAACTGGAGGGGTAACGGGGTCATCGTTATTCTCTTCTGGGATGGTTGAGCCGGAGAATACAGAGACTGCACTGGTGGTGGTGCTAGTCTCCGTGTACGCGCTTTCACCGCTGACGCTTTCCATATCATCCGCGCTCTTGGGCCGTCGTCGAAGATCGACGACCCGCTTCTTTCGTTTCCTCGCGTGGGCTTTGGAATGCCGACCGGCACCCATGCTGAGTCCGTATCCACTAAACCCGGACGAAGGGGGGGTTGGTCGACTGTGCGACGAAGACGCCAAGCTTGCAGCGTCTTGGAGTGAGAGTGAAGATGTTGCAATGTGCGAATGGGTTCTGGAGAGCGGGGGACTCATGGGGGAGACGAGGCCGCTGGGTCCATCAGCCTGCTCCATTGAACCCGTCCACGCTCTAAACACGACTTCTCGGATAGACGGCGTGAACAGAGACAGTGTGCGTTGGGAATCCGTCAGCGCGGCTAGGCGGAGCACATTCTTGCGGGAGAAAAGGGAATGCATCTCGACGCCGGAGTCGAGGGATAGGGATGCGATCTCCGAAATTGACAGAACGTTCCCCGATGCGTCGACGGGGTCCTGCGGGGGGTTCAACAGGGGATCCAGACCGGGACCATCAAGGGATGGATTCGTGACTTGAGCTGAGGTGGTCTCCAATTCGCTGTATTCGGTGCCCCACAGCCGCAAAGACAGCCTGTGTATGATTGCGGGCAACTCGTCCATGAAGAGGATTCGCAGCTGGCCTTCGATTTCTTTCTGTAGATAATCGCGGACGAACGGGATCGAATCGAAAGTCGACGAGACTTTTAGAGATTCGAGGGGATCGTTCCGAAAGACAACGGTAATGCCCTTTTGCTTTGAGAAGACGAGGATGACGAAGCCGGAGAGTTTTATGTCAGAGAGTGTAATTTGGAGGGGGATGGTTAAACCAGTTCTGTAGTAGGAGAGGGGGAAAGTTGTTAGCAAATTTTTTATGTTCTTAGTTTTCCACCCACTAGAAATAGCAACAATATATATAAAGAGAGAGAGAGAGAGAGAGAGAGAGAGAGAGTAAAATAGAAATAGTCGGCCACTTACGCAGCAGCAAGAGGTTGCGGAGAGGTAAAGGGGTGTCGAGTAAGGAGATACGTATTCAAGGGGTTTGCCTGGACACAGGTCTTGAGGGTTAAGAACGCATCTCCAGCATAGGACATCTTGAAGATGCCGCGGAACCGATCCTCCGCCAGATCCCCAATTTCCAGGATTTCCAGTTCGGGCGGGTTGGAGCCCAAATTCAGCTCGGTGACGACGATATCATCGACGATAATGGGTGGTTTGGGGGATTTGTTCAGGGCGGCAGTCAGCAGCTCTTGGGCGCGGGTGTAGAAACCGGCGTCTGCCATGAGGGGCGACCAGTTGAAGTTGAACGCCATGTCGACAATGCATCCGACATGGGGATAGCTGACAGTCTGGAGAGATTATAGAAGATAGAAGCCGAGAAGATAAAAGATTAATCAGACATGAGATGAGGGAGGAAGTAGGAGGAGGTTGACGCGTCGGGGAAAAGGGAGAAAATTCTCGAGTTTGGCGCCAAAAACGAGAATGGGACGGGAGAACGGGAATAAATAACAGGGCAAAGAGGAGGGAAAAAAAAAAAGAAAAGAAAAGAAAAAGAGAAAAAAAAAAAATTGGTGTCGCGTGCTGGAGCCGGTGATACAGCCAGATGATGGACGCTCCTCAAGGCAGAAAGAATTAAGAGTAAGGGACAAGATAATAATAATAAAAAAATGAAAAAAAAAAAAAAAAAAAGATGGAGAAGAAGAGGAAGAGTCAGGCTGAGTGAGTCTGCATGTGATGTGGGCCTCGGATTGAGGGGGATAAGAAGAAGAGGATGTTCTAGATTCAAGGAAGTATTAAAAAAAAGAAGAAAAAAGAAGAAGAAAAAATAAAAAATAAACAATAAACATCGCCCAGAGTTTCATTGGTTGGGTCAAGCAAGGAGAGAGCCAAGGGAACTTTAGCAGAGAATGAAGAATGAGATGATGATGTCATTCATATTACTCAAGCTGCTGGAGAGTTAATTCAGAGCTTTTTACTAATTATCTCTGGTAATAATAAATAATATAACTAGAAATATTTATATACATGCCCTCTCAATGCTTGAATAATTAATTAATTAATAGCTTTAGTTATCTATTCCACACTGAGGATCTAAATAAATGTACAACCCTGACATCATATCATCTCTCATACATACAATATCATCCCTGTCGCGTTTTTGCCCATATCAGAGCCCTGTTAAGGGTATTTAATTACAATCATTGCAACAAATAATTACCCCTTTTTTCAAGGATGATGGTGGTTCAATAGCATGCTCATTATTACTTTTATTTATTGAGTTGAGTTCTGTTGGCTTTCTCAAAATTCATAGTCATAGACTGTTGCTCCAAACAAAGGATAATGATAGGGAGAAGAACATACAGTTCCCTAAGACACACAGCATCTGATCTGCCTGTTATTTCATCTGGAAAATGAAACGAAAGGTCAAGTTTGAACTCGCTTCATCCAGCCAACTACCCCCACGAAGAATGACTGAGGAGGTATCTTCAACCCATTCTCGCTTCCGCAGGGACGACACTCGTGAGAAATAACTTTACTTAGCTAGCTCAGTCGAGTACCCCTCTTAGAGCGACTGTAAACCATTGCGTCTCTTATTATTATTTCATATCCTCGAGTGTAGGATATATGTTAGATATGCCAAGGTCCCCATCCGTTTCTTTCTCTCTGGAAGCCTTCTTTTCTGTTCAACTGTGAATCTTGACCTCTTTCTCTCATCTTCTTCACCTATAGCCAACATACATCAGTAGCTGTGGAACTGGAAGGAGAAGTAGACGTATCACCTTTTCTTTTCCCATACCTGCACATGGGCCAATAGACATATTGCCAATATCGAATATTCTCAATTGTAAATGACATCATCGTGATCAACTGGGAACTTTGAAGATTCAACCGACAAATCGTGTAACAGTCATTTCAATACACCAAATTCACCCTCTTTATCAATTATACACCGGAGTAGAATTGGCCCTCGATTGATGAAAAAGAAAAGATCTATGTATGATAACTAATATTTGTAGCAGAATTTAGTGAGTTACAATTCATTTACATCAAACCTTCCGGCATCAGGAAACAACCTCGGCAGTCCTAAGTCACATGATGTGTTGTCTCAGCAACAGAGCTTTTAGCCGTTTAGGGAAATATATAAACATCAGTTGCGCCTCCGACCTTAGATCGCTGGGAGTGCTTGCTGCCTCATATATAGGAGTAATAACCCTCAACAACACTGCATATTATTGTATATAATCTATACATTGCTTATTATTATTTTTATTATTTTTATACTATTCACTCGAACCGTCCTTCTCTTCTTCCAAATCTACACCTCAACCGTCACACTCGTTTCAATTCTGCAATCGATGCGACATGTCGCTATTCTCACCCTCCGCCAGCCCTATATCTTCAACTAAGAGATTACCCCGGAATACACACACCTACACAAAGTCTGCAACTACTGCGGCTACCAATAATCGCTCACGAAGGGTATATGGCAAGCGGGAGGTAGATGCGCCCCGTGCGGTTCTCGAGCGGGAGCATAATAATGTCCCGAGTAAAGCTCCCGTTATAGCAAATGAAAGGCAGGAAGTTGAGGTTGAGAATATGATTACAGCTCTAGGAAAGGGTTTATCTGCGCTTCAATTGGACGTTAATGAGCGGACGGTTGATGTGGACAGGGACGAGGAGGATGTTTCTACAACTGCACAATCAGATGTGCCGGGGGAAAATGAAGCTCAAGGGCGCGAACAGCCTATGGTCGAGATCCGCATATCTGTTTACAATGGTGTCCAACGAGAGGCCGTCACACATGAACGAGATACCAACGTCTCCAAATCCCTAGAAACCGTCAAATCTAAGCGAAGACCACGACGCTCGTCCGGCTGGATCGAAGACCTAAAACTAAACAGCTACGTACGCCCCATCCTCAAAGAAGCAACGTCCCCCATATCCTCGCGCGGAGTCCAGAGCTTCGCAAGCTGGGCTCGACGGGCGGGTGATATGTTTACTGTCGAGAAGATCGCAGAGGGTTCCTACGGAGAAGTCTACCAGCTACGGCTCAGCAAAAGATATTTCCAAATGCATCTCTCCAAGTCACGACTGGCCCGCCTAAAGTCTACAAGGATGGGGTATTCAAATCATCCCCTCCGGCACAGCGGTGGCGTCGCTCCCAAGAAATCACCACCGTCCAGGAAATCGTGTCCGAGGTGCAACTCCTGAAAGCTGCTCGATTCCATCCCGGCTTTGCGAGGTTTCCGGGAGGTGCATGTCGTCCAGGGACGGTTCCCGGATACGTACCAACAGGCGTGCGCACGCAGTATAAACAGACGAATGCGAGCGAGTGTTTTAACCCGGACCCCAGTAAGGCAAAGTCGTACCCAGATACGCAGCTGTGGGCGGTTTTAGAAATGGATAATGCGGGCTGCGAGTTGGAGAAGTTTCCGTGGTCGTCGATTTTTCAGGTTTATGATATCTTTTGGGGGGTTGCGTTGGCCCTTGCGCGGGCGGAACAGTTTGCGGCGTTTGAGGTAGGTTCTTCTTTTTACTTTACATTTTTTTTTTTTTTTTTTTTTTTTTTTTTTTTTTTTTTTTTTTTTTTTTTTTTTTTAACTGAATGGATGTAGTAAATGTGTATTGCTAGACGTTATGTATAATCACTGACAGCCCTTGTAGCACCGCGACCTTCACCTTGGGAATATTTGCATCAAGCCTACGAAGAAGGCTGGTAACATGTCGATGGGCTCATCGACATCAGCCTTAGAAGGGTTGGGACGAGGTGGTAGGACAACGGGGTTTGGTCTAAGTGGACTTGAAACGACTATAATTGATTATTCGCTTTCGAGAGCAGAGTTACAAGCACTCAATACGCCCGATGGGGATGTGGAGGCGGAGGCAGAGGCCGAGGCGGGGAGCGAAAATCCAACGGTAGAGATTGCCTGGTCGGATCTTGACAAGAGGCAAATATTTGGCGCAATTGGGCAAGACGCGGATGAGAAATTGCTGAGGGATACATATCGATTGTGAGTTGCTGTTTCTTTATTTCTTATTTGTTTCTTCTTCTATCATTATGCATGTCCTAACTCGCTATGTAAATTAGTATGCGATCCGAGGTATATCATCAAGAGAACCTCCTCTGCCCCACACAACCTCCTTCCAAACCCCGGCAGTGGAAGCACTACAACCCCAGAACCAATCTGATCTGGCTTTCATTCCTGCTGCAGATGCTCCTGAAGAAATTGGAGCCGCCCTGTCCGAACCAGGGACAGACAGCGGAGCCACTGCAACTACAACTGCAACTGCAACAAAAACAGCTGCAGCGGGCACCACTTACGCCCCGTCCCGCGAATCATAAGTTACATAGCAATACCGTCCACCATGGAGATGATGATTCGCCATTCAGATCACGAAAGAAAAAGACCGCCCAAGTTAAAAGGGGTGGTGGTGGCGGAACTGAAGAGGGTGGGAAGCAGTTGGATGCTGTTCTAATAAACAAACAACATGTTGGTCAACTGCAGCAGCAACAATTATTGAAAGAGGAATTGACAATGCGCCTTCAGACGACGGCGGATATGTTGAGTGTTGAGAGTGGGATTGGTGATTTGTATTGTGCGGGGGATCTTGTGGCTTTTGCCCTTGGGTCTGGATGGTTGGATGAGGGGGATTTTTTGTGTTGAGGCTGTGGGGTTGGGTGGGCGGGGGTGTTTTCTTTTTCTTTTTCTTTTTCTTTCTTTTTCTATCTCCATTTTAGATCGCGGGGGTTGGGGATGAAGATAGAGAGGTGATTGCTTTTCTTTTTGGGGGTATTGTGGCTGGCGCTATGCTATATGCATATATAGGAAGGGCATTTTGAACCGGTGTTATTTGGGGTTTTGGTTTCATGGTTTGGTTAATTAAAGAATATTTTACATTGTTTTATCATAAATCCGGGGGTTAACAGAGGGTGCTCAAACTACGCGGATCCAGCTGCGTGTGTGGTCCTGCGGCAGCTGGACCCTGACATACCAAGTCGTCCCTGGTCACTCTGGCTGCCGATTGCTAAGACCGCGATGGGGACATGGTTCCTTGGGTCTCTGGGAACAAGAACAAAAAACGTCATCATCAATTTGACACTAACAATAGCTGGCTGCTCGGGCGGGTAGGTTGATGCGAGAGTCGTCGTTCGGATACGGGACTACGGAGCTACGCAGTATGCAACTACGCAGTACTACTGTGTAGATATGGGGGTTTGCCATGCTGCATTCACGATTAGCTTCTTATGTATCTACGGAGGTGGTGTGGAATAAGTGGTTATACAATCCTTACTGTTTAGCTGTTTAGAAGTGGCACCTGTTGTGCCTATTGCTCAGCTGGCTGGGCACTACTGAGGGCCTATTCTTTAGGGCCTCAGCCCCTAAACATTGAAGGTGCGGGCCGGCACAATTTGAATCTGGTACTGTACTGGAATTTCAATATAAATTTCTACCATGTGCAAGTACTTATGTTTCCACACCTCCGTAACTACCCCGGGTCCCAAATCTCTCTATTTTGTTAGTTATGGCAGTACTTTATTTTCTACAGGACACTGAATTTGAGCATTTCAACTACCTCAGAGGACTTACACAGTAACGTAACTAACAAGAGGATGCGGGGGATCTACGAGGCGATTCATGGCATCTTGCTCCGGTGTCGCAGGAGCTAACGGGGCATTTGCATGGGCTCCGAGCTAGTTCAAGATGGCTGGGGTCGGTTGCATCCACTGCACTGGTATCCGTGCTAACTTGATAGTAAGTCGAAGAAATTGACAATCGACGAAGGGCCCGGTGAGCTGCTTTCTTTTTGTATTTCTATGATAGGCTGCAGATAGCTTAGACTTCTGCAGCCGGCAACCCAAAGAAGATCCCAATCGCAGCTAGCAGCGATGACGTGAATGGCCTAGCACTGTTAGAGTAATATACTGCGAGATGTGGCTTTCAAGATTTCCCCAACCTTCATTCAACCTTCCCCCTCTTCCAAGGCTGTTACTAGTGTTGGTATATAGTCTGCTTGTGGCTTGCTCACTGGCTAGTTCGCGGTTTAACTCAAGCGCTTGACCACCAGTGTTTGCACAAGCTTCCTCCCCTCCAGCATTCGACATCTATATTTCAGTACATGCGATCGGGATACTGCGTGCATTGACTACTTTCGTTTTAATATCGTTGCAGTTACTCTATGCGATCGTTTGAAAGCAGTATCCGTCTTCATGCTTAACCATCCAACCGCGAAACAGGAGGAGCCGCAAGAGGGAACACAGCGCGAACCTGCGCCAACTGCGACAAAGAAACCTAAACGATTCCAATGCATGCGCTGTGAGACGCGATTTGCACGACTTGAGCACCTTCAGCGTCATGAGAGAATCCGTGAGCACTGTTCCTTCTGCAGTAAAATGTACCTGGTGAAACTTCGGTTAACTCGTACGCTCTGTAATTAGATACACAAGAAAAGCCTTTCTGCTGTCAATTATGCGACCATCGGTTTACTCGAAGGTGGGTATTGAGTTTTTTTTCTTACATTGGTTGATTGTTGGCTGGAAGGTATAATCATAATAGTCCCACTGACTTGATCATACCAGTGATCTTTTGATCCGACATGAACGTCTCTCACACAATAAAGACGGACTGCGGAAAAAGCAGCCACGTCCTCCAAAACCGCGTAAATCAATGGCTAGGAAATCAACTCCTCCCGCTACCGCATCGCATCCAATTGCTCCTATAGCTATAAAACCATCACCAATGGATGATAGGCAGAGGACAATGTCTCTGGGATCCGACCCGCACTTATATGGCCCTGTGTATCCAAGAAGTGAGGCCAGCAACTACCCGCTGGCTACGCTGACAATGGTTGCTGAGCAGGTAGCTTCCAAAATACCTGATAAAACCGTCAATACGCATGCCTATAATGTCAAAGAAAACACAGGACTCAACCAAAGTGAGCCAGCCTGGAGACTATCAGGGACACCAGCAGCGGACAGCCATGCTATAAACGTAGATTTGAAGCATTCCATAGACGCGCTAGCCACCTTTCTAGATGATGGGGCACACCATCCTTATCAGTTTTCACCGTTCGTGAGCGTGGAGCAACCGGTACCGTTTTCCTGGCTGGAATCAACTAGTCACCCAGATGGCCCTGATGCAAATATTCGACCGTCCCCCACTGTTCATTACAAATCGAATGCCGACCAGGCAGGTTCATTCGCCCGTTTTGATCCACACTTTTCGCCTGCCCTGACAGAAAAACAGAAATATCAGACTGAACATACAATTCCACAGCGAAAACCCTTGTCCGAGGTGTCATCCGATGACAGACAGTCTATATTGTCCAGGTTAGAAGAATATTACTCAGTAATACCTGCAGGGTTTCAGTTACCTTCTCGTCTCGCTCTGTCACGATACATCGCTAGGTATATTAGCGGCTTCCACGAACATCTTCCGTTCTTGCATATCTCCACAATGTCGATCAGCAGTTGCGCAGTAGAGCTTATTCTCGCTATGGCCGCTGCGGGGGCGCAGTATTGTTTTGAAGATGAAAAGGCTGCCGGGTTGTTTTATGCTAGCAAGGAAATTGCTATGGAGCGCATAGGACGTAGAGGTGTTAATCCTGCGGCAAACCAGCGAAACGCAAAGTCAGGGTTAGCTTCTTCAGTCGGAGGCACGGATAACGATACAGTGCCACGCCCGCATCAATACCATGTTATACACAAAAGACATGGTGTACCTCCCGAATCAGCCCTGTCGCCACTGGTAACTCAAGACCAGCATCTGATCCAACAAACCCAGGCTCTTCTAATATTAATGGCTCTAGCGACATGGGCAAAGGGCAAAGACATACTCCGAGAAGCTGTTGCCTTACAGAGCGTGCTATGTACCCTCGTCCTTAAAGACGGTCTCCACAGCCAGCCTGCGCCTCATGATATCTCCTGGAATGATTGGATAGAGCTCGAATGCATAAAACGGACGAAATTCGTCACCTATTGTTGTTTGAACCTCCATTCCATAGTGTATAACATCCCCTCCCCCATTCTTAATTCTGAACTCAATCTTTATCTGCCATGCAGCGCAGCCGAGTTTGAAGCCCCAAACCGGCATAAGTGGTTGGAGGCGAGGGCCAAAGCAAGCCCTCAAATAAACTTCCAGGAAGCTCTGAATCGCCTGTTCTCGCATGGCGGAAACGAAATCACGGAATGCAATTCAGCCTTGGGTAACTATATTTTGATCCATGCGATAATCCAATATGTATTTTTTCTCCGCCATTTTTCTCGTGGTAGATTCGATGGTAATCGCGATGTCGCGCCAGAGGACGTAGCTGCAACCGAGCAAGCACTACGGAATTGGCAAATAGGCTGGAAGCGTAATCCTCAATTATCCCTTGATCCACACGATCCAGATGGCCCGGTAGCGTTCAACTCAATTGCGCTTTTACGTCTTGCTTATATCAGGTTGAACATCGATGCAGGCCCCGGAATGTTGCTTGACACTCGAGATCCAGTCCTGATAACTAGGACTTTCCGCGCAAACCCGCGGGTCAAACGCACGCCGAAACTCGTTCGCGCCGTTCTACATTCAGCCCAAGCGCTAAGTATTCCGGTGAAAATCGGCATTCGGCTCGTGGCGCAAAGGCAGATGTTTGTCTGGTCCATTCAACACTCACTATGCTCCTTGGAATGTGCTTTGTTACTTAGCAGATGGCTGGAGGCGCTATCACAGCCCAATCCAGAACCGCCAGTGTCAGAAGACGAGCGGCGGATCGGCACTTTGTTGAAGGTGATGCTGGACGAGACGGAGTTTGCTATCGCACCGAACCTGCCTCTAGGATCCCCGGCCATGATCAGGCAGATGAATGCGGGGGTGTTGCGGGTGTGGGCGAAAATTTTCAAGGGTGCGCAGAGTTGGGCTATCCTTGATATCATTGGGGACTCGCTGAATTTGTATGCAGATATGCTCGAGGAGGGCTAATTCGGTGCCCTTTTGGGGGGCTTGATAGCAGATGTGAGGGAAGCGGGCTCATGTTGGAGAATTATAAGACCGCATTTGTGCTCGGGTGAAGCCCTGTCTCATTCTTATCAATAAGTATTGTTATACCAATAATTTCCTAGAACCATAGCGCCATGAGACCAATAAATCTATTCAAATAGTAGATTCTCAGAGACACTGTCGTTTTGCTATACGAGGTTGATACTCTCAAGCAAGTATTATAAAAGTCACGGCCACCACGTTTATATGACCCACTAGTGAGCGGCTGACGACAACGGAAATTTAATTTTACGTGGAAACAATGCAGAGTAACGTATGTGGTTTGGTGCGTCTGTGTCACCGGGTGGGACGCTAGCCACACGGCAATATCGATGTTCACCATTTATTTCATATACTGGACGCAGCGCACTTCTCATTCGCCCTGCAGTTGGGATGACATAAGAGAGGGTTCCCCATCTCACAGGCCTCTTTCGACATAGATGCCTGCCATGAAGAAGACTTACCGCACAGTGATGGTATGCGGACAGGTGATATTAGTCGCTGTTCGTGTCACCTCTCGCGGGTTTTTATCTAGGAACGAGGGGGCTATTTCTGGAACAGTCGTGGAGGGTGTTTTAACCGAAGAAAGCATGTTTGGTGCTACATGTAGCACGCTCGGTCTCTAGCGCCGAGCCGCGCGTGCCTGATCGACCCTCAACTTGTTT